AAACACTTTACTTGGGATTTTAGTGTATGTGTACAAACTTTAAAATGTATTCACATATTTGCCATTTTGTTTTCACCTTGATGATCACCTTAAGAAGAAATAGTAGGAATCAAGATAATAAGTACAAAATTTAACATACTCAATGTACACAAAGTATCTACCCTATGGATAAAAATACAGCTTGCCAAATCATACCCTGAATGGTATCTTACGATTAACTAAGAATTTCTGGTAAGCAACCTGAACTTTATTCCATTGAAATATACTGTATATTTCAACTGAAAAATCTCTAACGATAGTTGACACAAAAGCGCATCTTTCCAACTCTACCTGCCCCCATGTGCTAGTATCATTACTTCACATAGCAGTTGTATATTAAAATTCATAACACTAGACTGAAAACATAAATCAGAAATAGGTTTTAATATTAACTTGTAACTCATTTGACTGTGTGGAAAACTTGCACCCACGTGCACATTCATCATTAAAGCTATGGTTCATGACAGAACGTGTTCAAAGTATCAATTTTCATTGGTAGCAAGCATGAAAGATGATTGAGATGTGCATTTGAGATGCAAATACTTTTTGCTACAGAAATAATTCTCATAAGCCTTTTTTTTTTTAAGTTTACTATATTTTTCCATGGCTTTTCATTTCAGAAATTCTCTGCAACAGAAACATTTACATAAATTACAGGTATCATACTTTTTACATGAGGAATATTAGGTATTTAGGTGAATGTCAATTTATGAATGATAAAGATAACAGTTCTTAATGGGAGACAGCTATAGAAAATTACAGAAAGTGATCAAATAGCAAAATTAAATGTACTATGCTGCAAAGATGTGGATGGAGCAGTGCATAGATGAGATTGTAATTTTGCTAGAATCTAAAAAAACTTCTGAAAAGTAGTCTTGCTTGCTTATTTTAGCTACACTTTTCCACTTTAGCCTAATACTTTCCTTACATAGAAATTAAAGCTATCTATCACAACTACAAATATGCAAGGATGTAACTTAACATGACCGAGGGTTTTGACTGATTCAGTGTAACTAAAAAGATGGATAGCTATGGAAGGGACAGATAACCAGCAAGTAAAGCAGAGAGAGACTTTTTCTGAAGCAGAACATAAGGAGCATCAGGAATGAAGTACCAAGATGGAAAAAGAAAAAAATGCTCTCATCTTAAAAGTACTATAAGAAGTTCCTTAGGATACTTCATGATCAAAGATAACACTGAAAGAAACTTTGCATAATGAAGTGGAAGAACTGAACATCAGAGAGACTGATGATCTTGCAAAGTGAAATACCGTGAACACATGTCACTGAAAGGTATTCCTGGTGATAATTTAAAAACTGTCCTTGGTCTTCTATATCTGCTTTGTTTGACTTTGACACAAAACATTGCCAAAAATTAAATAATGAATCTGTCATTTCTGTATGGGAGAAGTGAAGACTTCAACTTGAAAGCTGTAATTTTCTTTTATACTAATATCATCTCCCTAAGAGTAGAACAAAATTAGAAGTTCGAAGGAATGACTCAGTCATTTGCTCCAGATACGTTCTTTTAGTTTATCTGAAGCTACAGATCTAAATTTTTATAATGTAAGTTTAAAAAAAGCCCCAAAAGTCAACATTAATGCAAATATTAAAAAAATTCTCCATAGTTGTAAAAGGTATTTTACACTAGTGTATTGCTTTTGTATCTGAAAAGAACATTGCATGTAACTTCATGAAAATGCCAACCACAAGCATACACAAAAATACAGTAAGATCTTAGAATCTGAGCAGCTGCTGCACATGACAGTAAAAACTTGCAAGCCACACTGTGTCATCCTAAACTTCCGTCATGTGAGTATTCTGCAAATTCATCTAACCTTGTTGAGAAAGCAGTAAAACTTCAAAAAGACCAAACCTATATTGTAGGAGATAAAAATATCCGACACAATCACGGTCAACTTTATGGTTGAATGACTGAAAAAGGGAGGACTGTTAGTGCAGCTTTCCCATGAGTAGAACTTAGATTGCCTCTATATCTGAATCCATCTACTATAAATATGGTTTAAATGCTATTTGAGCCACAGTGGATTTTGCTTGAAACTCAAATGCAATTTAGAGAACAAGGGAGGTGCTCTACAGAGTTTTATTAAAAGCTAACAAAAGTAAGTTTGCTTAGTTTTGGGGATGTACCTACTAATAGACAGAGGAGTCCCAATGGAAATTTGTCTTGAGAAATTCTGACCTCTCAAGAGGCAACAGTGAAAAAAATAATTACTTCTTTTATCAGCACATTAAACTTTTGAGGACTGATTGAAACACACAGGTTCAAACTCAATATTCATAATTTGCTACTTCGTTAGAAACAGACATTTTCAGAAGACATGGAACATAAATTGTAAACAGTAAAGCAAATTTCAAGTAAAATTTTGTATTTTGTCTACATGATCTATTTGTATATATAAACAACATCAGTTTTTCCAAAACATCATTATGAAAAGGTAAATGCTTATAACAGATCAATCAGGAGAATTAGTAATGCACTCTCCCATACCTTCTCTCCAATACCCCCATGCATTGGTAACCTGCTACTTACATTCATTCAACAGAGGTGCTCCCGTCATTGCAGAAGCTTGATTTTTTTTCTGAGACACACACAACTTTCTGCTATTCAGCAAATTCAGTAAGAGAGATGTAAGGGTTTATGTACATTTAGGACAAAAAATACAACAAGAAAATGGTATAACAAAATAAACTGGAATATGCAGTTAACAAAGAAATACAGTGTCACTACCTCTAGGGCTAGACCACCACTCCAAACAAAATGTATTCTCAAAGAAAACTTTTTTCCCCTGAAACCTCCTTGCCTTTGTTTCATTTCACATATACATGTTTTGGAGCCCTGAAATGAATTCCTAAACCAGTAAATGAGAACATTGAAAAGATATGCACTTGCAGATTAATGAAGGAAAAAACCCCACCCTGGAATATCATTACTGTTTGGATCAAGAGGTCAGTGTAAATTTAATCCATATTGCATTATCAGAAAGCCAGGATCCAGAAGGAAGAACACAGAAAGTGAAGACATTTAGACATATTGACAATCTTGAAGAATATGAATGAACCATATTTCTTGACAAATTCAGATGATGTTTGAGAACTTGAGGGTACTGAGAAGGACTGAATAAAAAGACAACAAGTAGTTGGTTTTTTTAAAAGCAGTAAGTAACATGAACCAAGAGCTCTCTAAGTGGCAAAGCAGCTTATACTTCTGTGCAAAATCCAACATCTAGGTAATGGGAACAGATGAGATCACCCTTCAAGTTTAATTTCCAGTAGAACTTTCCTAGATTTTTCCATAAATCAGCTTGCATCGCCCACTTTCAAAAGACATCACATAAAAGCTAGACTAGCTAGATGTTGCACAGCAATTCCTGTTATTAAAGTGATGTGGTCTCAAACATTTCAAACAAAATCTGATTTTGCAGTAATACATGAAAAACTGGGCTTAACATGAAATACTCAAGCATGATCCAGTTATAAGAGCTCATCTCAACTAATTTCCCAAAGAAGAGTTCCACATTTTTAATCTGTTTAAAGGTTCTTGTAGTTTCCTACTGTAACCTCCAAATCTCTGAAGGTAGTCTAGAGGAGTGCATTCTTCACAACAGATAAGCTTTACACCTTCCCATTATGAGAACTTTCCTGAAAATATATAGGCTTCATCTAGAGCTATTTCTTAGCAGTGCTGTCTCTGGTTTTATGCATGGTCTCCTTTTTTTTACTTTGGACACTTTTGATTGTCAACAGACATAAAATTCAGTGCATTTTCTCTGCTTCATATTGCTCTTCTGCTCTGAGTGTTCTAATATAGTAAGTTCTGAGCTTTGATTTTTAAGCCATCAGGCAAGTGAGAATTTTTTAGCACAAAATAAAGGAAGGAGCTGCTTGCAGACAGAGTTCACTGAACATCTTCTTAAGAAAAGTAGACTAATGAAGCTCGAGTATGCTGTCCACCAGAATAATTTTGATTCTATTACAGTGAAAGTGAGTACTGCACAAAACAATCGCATAGGCTAAACAAAAACATTTCTATGGGTGGTTGCCAAAAAATCTTGTTTTCTGATAGAAAAGAATGAGAGAGCTGGAAAGAAGAACTAGCAGGTGCTGGCAATCACTTTAGCAAGCAGAATAATCTTCAAGGATCATGAATTAGGTGAGGAAGAATGTTACTGTTTGCCATCTGCTATGGGTCTATTAGAATGTCAGCACCTGGTGCCACAGAAAGATCTTTGTGATGTGAACGCACAAAGTGAATTCAGAGTTTTCTTCTACTGAAAGGTAAGCATTACAGGCCTTGCCACTGGTCAATTCACTTAGTTTTTGATGTATGCTATTTAAAGTTTGATAAAAAGAGAACATTATAATAGAGTTCACCTCAATGATTAAGTATTATAGCGTAATCAGTAAGAACTGAATAATAATCCCACAAGGTTGGCATTAAAACTTTCTTTCTATTCAATTTAGGCTGGTTTTTGTTTCCAAATGTCAGGCAGCAAATATCTAAGTTTGAGCAAAACCAGTTGGTTTGAAAGTGTCTTAAACTGAACAATGATAAAGTGGGGCACAGAACTGCCCCAGCCCAGGCTAGAAATTTGCACATTCTTTTTGTTGACAAAATACTACTTGCTTAATGTTGCTACTCAGTGGCAGGATTATCTATGTTCCTGGGGATATTAAAGACATTCAAGGTGTTAACAATTTCATATTCATGATTGATATTGGAAGAGATAACATTAAACTTCAGTAACCGTAACGTGTTGGTGGACTCGCATATTAAATTGTGCAACATACACACGGAATGAACTATACTGTCCTGCATTTATCTATTCTTAGAATGACACAACCCTTGCATGCGAACCAACCTTGTTCAGCAGAGGCAATACATTAATCTGATAGATTACATGTCTGAGTATGGAGCTTGCAAGGCTTAAATGTACTTACTTTTGGTGTTGGACAGGATGCCGTGGAGAGACGAGAGGTGGCCTGGGCACGAGGAGATTCTGAAGGAGTAGTACTGAGGGAGGCTGTATCACGTGGGAGCACCTGAACACCACGAGAGATGATGGAATCTGGAATCTTAAAAAGAAGGGAGATGGAATTAATAGTAAAAAATACACTGAATTTAAAACTTACTCAAAACCTTACATCAAAAATGTAGGAATACCCCACTTCTCAGTTTACATACCTCCTCATATCCAGTGTTAGCAGTGGTTAATGGCATGTTATCATAATTTCAGTAACAAATACCTAGCAAATACACAAGATCATATTCTAACTGAAGTAGCATAGAACATACTATTGGTCCTGAAAAATCTATGAATCAGACACACTACAACAGGAAATAATAAGAAAGTAATGTTTTTCCTCTTAAGCCTCTGTTTCAAACCCAGCAATGACCAACAGTGATTCCTACCATGGCATGAGGGGAGGCAGACTTCCCATTTTCTAATTATGGGACAACATTCTGAACAGTAAACCATTTATTAGCAATGACTGAACCCCTCTCTGAAATGTCATGCAGCGAGAAAATTTCTCATAAGAAACGTCACGCAGTGAGTTTCATTCTGTGTACTGAAGACATTATTTCAGTTATAAAAATTCTTGATGTAAGGTCGTGCTGCAAAAGCTACAGGTCTCTCTGGAGGGAGTACAGGCACTAGAAACCATCATCCAAAGACAACACTTGGTTTAAAATGCCTTCTGAAAGGAAAAATAAAAAGTCAATCTTTTTTTTTCCTCATAATGTATTAGAAAGCCAGCTAGGAAATCATATCCCTTGATGAACACAACCGGCAAACTGGTAACAACGGAGGAGAAGGTGGCTGAGGTATTCAACAATTTTTCTGCCTCAGTCTTCACTGGCAACTTCTCTCACACCTCTCAAGTGGATGGACTGCAAGATGGGAACTGGCAAAGTCCCTCCCACTACAAGAGAAGATCGGGTTTGTGACCACCTGACGAACCTGAACATAGGCAAGTCCATAGGACCTGAGAAGATGCATCCCAGAGTCCTGAAGAAATTTGCTGATGTAGTTGCCAAGCCACTCTCCACGATATTTAAAAAGTCGTGGCAGTCAGCTGAAGTCCCTGGTGAATGGAAAAAGGAAAACATTGCACTCATTTTTAGAAAGGGTAGAAAGGAGGACCCTGGGAACTACCAACCTATCTGCCTCACTTCTGTGCCTGGGAAGATCATGGAACAGATCCTCCTAGAATCTATGCTGAGGCACACGGAGGACAGGGAGGTTATTCTAGAAAGCCAGCATGGCTTCACCAGAGGAAAGTCTTGCCTGACCAACCTAATGCCCTTCTATGATGGAGTGACTACATCAGTGGGCAAAGGAAGAGCTACAGATGTCTGTAAGGCCTTTGGCATGGTCCCCCAATAACATTCTTCTCCCTAAATTGTAGCGAGATGGATTTTATGGGTGGACTGTGTGGTGGACGAGGAATTGGTTGGATGGTCGCATCCAGAGCGTAGCGGTCAATGGCTCAATGTCCAGATGGAGATCGATGACAAGTGGTGCCCCTCAGGGTTCCATATGGAGACCAGTGCTATTTAATATCCTTATCAGTGTTACAGACAGTGGGACTGAGTGAACCTTCAGCAAGTTTGCAGATGACACCAAGCTGAGTGATACAGCTGACATGCCTGAGAGAAAGGACGCCATCCAGGACCTGGACAGGCTGGAGAAGTGGGCTTGTGTGAACCTCATGAGGTTCAACAAGGCCAAGTGCAAGGTCCTGCACCTGGGTCAGGGCAACCCCTGGTATTAGTACAGGCTAGGGGATGATGTGACAGAAAGCTGCACTGCTGAGAAGAACTTGGGGGTACTGGTGGATGAAAAGCTGGACATGAGCTGGCAATGTGGACTTGCAGCCCAGAAGGCCAACTGTGTCCTGGGCTGCATCAAAAGAAGTGTGGCTAGCAGGCTGAAGGAGGTGATTCTGCCCCTAGTCTGCTTTGGTGAGACCCCATCTGAAGTACTGCATCCAGCCCTGGAGTTCTCAACACAGGAAAGACATGGACCTGTTTGAGCAGGTCCAGAGGAGGCCACCAAAATAATCAGAAGGATGGAATGCCTCTCCTATGAAGACAGGCCGAGAGAGTTGAGGTTGGGATCAGATTCTTCTCAGTTGTGCTCTGTGACAGGACAAGGGCAATGGTTACAAACCACACAGGAGAATCAACTCAGACATAAGGAAAAACTTCTATACTGTGTGGGTAACAGAGCACTGGACCAGGCTGCCAGAGAGGTTGTGGAGTCTTCTCTGGAGACATTCAAAACCCACCTGGATGTGTTCCTGTGTGATCTTCTCTAGGTGATCCTGCCCTAGGATGGGGGTTGGACTGGATGACTTTCAGAGGTCCCTTCCAACCCCTACCATTCTGTGATTCTGAGATTGCTAGTCTAATATATTGATTATGAAGATAACGACGTTTGTGTGTGTGTGCACGCAAAATTTTAAGTCATAAAAATGATAAATACCACAGATAAAAGAACTGATCTCTAACAATAGTTCTACAACACAAAATGCAGCAGATATTCTGTGATAACACACATTCTACAAAGGCTTATTCATTATTTTAATCTCTTCCTTTTTTCAGAAGCAGCGCCTCTATCATATCAGATTGTTCTTACTTCCTGCAATTCACTTTTTTATCACAACAGACAAGAAAATGTAGAACTTCAGATCTCTGAAGTTCTTTGATATATATATATATATATATATAAAGATCTTCCTCCTCATTAAGAATTTCTCAGCCTGATGTTCAAGTTCCAAGAGAACCACCAAAAGAACCCCCATGTTTGGGGGAAATGGCAGTAGCAGACAATAAAGTGAACGAAGAAATGAAGATCCGATGATGAGCCAAACCACTTAACATCAGACATTTCCAGTGTTCTTCCATTTTCCTTTTTTTAAAATGCTGTACCCAGTCTGCATCTAGAGCAAGTGTCAGGAGGAAGGAGCCAGGCTCTGCTCTGTGACAGCCAATGCCAGGACAAGGGGCAATGTTCCCAAGCTGGAGCATAGGAGGTTCAACCTGAACATGAGGAAATATTTTACTGTGAGGGTTACAGAGCACTGGCACAGGCTGCCCAGAGAGGTTGTGGAGTCTCCTCCTCTGCAGACATTCAAAACCTGACCGGACACGTTCCTGTGTGACCTGGTCTGGGTGATTCTGCTCTGGCAGGGGGGTTGGACTGGATGGTCTGTCGAGGTCCCTTCAAACTCCTAAGATTCCGTGATTCTGTGATTTTGAGCATTCTTGCCTAGTAAGGCTTTAGGGAAAATAGAAGCCACTGGAACAAGCTTGAATCCTACATTTTGAAATCTGCTGCATCCTTATGACCAGCTTCAGGATATTAAGACAGCTTTGTTGCTGGTCTCTGGGCAGATAAATTGATCAGTCTTGAGACTCAAGTCATTAAATACTGCATTTTTATGCAGTTTTTTTTCCCCCTCAACTTCCTTGGCTCTCATCTAAAAATGATTAAGTCTAATTTAGCAAACTTGACTTAGAGACACTGGGCTATACCTAGGGGATCTTATTTCATCATAAACTCTCCTCCACATGTCAAGAGTTTTTCATGTTTATAACCTGTTCATAAGTTGTGCAGAAACAGATCTTGTTCTCAATGTGCCACCAACTGCCTGCTTTCTGCTCTGGTGCTGTGTTTCTAGACTGACACTATTTTTTGTCAGTCAATTTCTGTCAGTATTTTAAAAAACCCAACTCTCCTCATAGGATCTTTCAAAGCTAGGAAACTTGTTTTGCAATTTCCACTATAAATGATGAAGTCAGCAGAGTTTCTCTTCACTGTGGACAATTATGCTGGGGAAATCTTCCTTTCCAGAAACAGTGCCTAACTGGTCTCTACTTGGAGTATTCTGATTTGCAAATGGCAAAGTATATGCATCTTAGGATGTACTATAAATAGAAGTAAACAGGGACAATGATATTCTGATCATGCAAAGATTTTGTAATCAGAAGCACAACTTCTCTTCTGTTCTCTTTCTCTCCTGTAATACCATCTTAAATATGTTAAACATACAAAAAAAGGCTGACATCCCTAAGTTTTATAATGGCATAGCTCCAATACTACCTACAACTTTTAATGCTTCCTTTTATTCTCCACGATTAAGGACAACACAGCAAAACATTACATTTTGATAAAAGCGTAAAATAAAAACAGATGCAATAAAAGAAAGAATAGTTTTAAATTTTCAAATAAGACACCTTTTCTTTACCCTCCTGTGATAAAAAAAGATGCATACATCTTGATATGATTGTGTTCAGGTCCATTACCTCTTTTATATACTCCAAGATCCTCCAGTACAAACACAGTATTGCTTTTGCAAATTATGCCATGATAACTCTAGAGTAACCAGATATTACATATTGCCTGATTCCCTTCAGGCAAGTAACTGTTTGGGGGTTTTTTCGTACACCATAGCCATCAACCAGTTGGTCTAAAGTTTTATCTGATTATCACCTTTTTCAGAACAAAAAACCCTCTCTGCAAGAAAGTGACTGAGACAATTCCAGTCTCCATTGAACTGCATGTGAATTACTAATTTTTGCCTGTGAGAATATTAAATTTAAGTAAAATTTAACCCAGGACATTAATCAGGAAAGGAAGCTGAACATAAAGGGAAAAGATGATTAAAGGCATTTCATTTCAATGAGAACTATTCCCTAATCACTACCTTTGCAGAAAATACAATTGCCATAAACCAGTCCATATATAAACCTATCTAGAACTCTAAGTTTCAGCTTGCTAGCTTTCGCAGATACAAAATCTCACTGAGAGAATTAAGTTAGTTCACAGTTGCAAATTTTGTTCTCAAGAGGTTTATTCCTCTAGTATGATCAGCATTAATATTCTCTTTAAACCACTACAACCTGTTGATTTCAGAGAAGGTATTAATAAGTATACTGCATTAAAAAAATTTGCAATGGTTATATGCTGTTCATTAAGTGAAAGGGACAACAGAATATGAATGGTACTTCTATGCTTATATGTATGCGATATAGGGAATGTCTCATTTTCCTCATGCCAATATAGTAAGTTTTTTCCTTTTAAAATTAAATTTAGGCAACCTAAACCTCTAATCAAAGCAACTTCTTGTTATCCCTGTTAATGAGGTTGAAAAACCCATGAGAAATTCCTGTGTGTCCTGGATCCTGGAAATCTGAAATAAGGAAGGGCAGGAATATTATTATGTTTTCAATAGATTTTTTTGTAAAACTTCAATAAAGTCACACTGTGAATATTTATGATTTCTCCCTCTAAAATTTTTCAACTCATGTACCAGTTTCAAATAAATTTAATAGAGGGTAGAGGTCTCAAAACTCTAAACGGAGTACAATAAAACAGTAAGTTCAGTGAAAACAGTTTCTGTTTGCACTAGCTGGAGTTGAAAACCTGTTGTGGCATACTGATGGAGAAAAAAATGAATGAACTGACAGAGAAGGATATCCACCATAACCACCAGTCATTGCTTCCACAATTTTTATCTGATATGACCTTTTCTAGAAGTACTTTTATATTGGTTTAAATATCTGTGTTTTCAGATTGGAGAACTAAGTGTAGACAAGAAAGAGAAAAATGAAAATATATGAGCTCTTTATTCTCTTTTTCAAAGGACTGGAACAAAGATTGACAGTGCTGGTGAGATACTAAGAAAACAAGCTGTAGACAGTAATTGCTATGTTTGTTAAAGAAGAGTAAAAATACCTTAAAACCAGAAAGAGGACAGCGTAAAAAAAACCAATCACGTTCTGACAAACTAGCCGCTTCCTCCTGTTGGAAGATCTGATTTTGATTAGAGAATGCATAAAACAGCAGCTCAAGAGTAATTTGCAAAAGGGCACAGAAGCCTGGATGGCAGCGTAACAGCATACTTCAGAAATCCTGAATTCACTGCTTTACTGATACTGTCAGTAAACACAGTGCCAACTCTAGATTAGTAACTTCATCAGAACAAATGTGTGTGTATGTACGTATGTACACATGTATAGATTTATCATCAGGTGTGTGAACTTTAAAGCCTTCACATTTCTTGAGTAACTTTTCAAGAGACATGGTTATCATGTTTTAAATACAAAGGTGTTATGCTATTTTACTCATGGTTTAAATTACTATTTGCCTGAGGGAACAAGAACGTGCAGCCTCTGGTCATCAAATCCAGTGACATATTTTCCCAAGAACTTACACCCCATCTGCTGCCTGATACGGAACAAATGGGTCAGACAGCACAACTCTCTCTCGGCCAACTGCCTTACTTAGGTTTCTCTAACCTACAGGCATGAATACAGTAAAACACGTTCCATTCCTGATGATACTGTAGCCATTATTCTATCTTGATTCAAGCCAAGACTAAAACTTTGGGAGATGGAAAATAAAGTATAGTGATTTGTTAGAACCTCTGGGTTATAATAAACTAAGTCCTTTCTTCCATTGATTGAAATAGTTGCCTACTTATCCACTAAAATCCAGTAATTTCTCATAAGTCCACTGTATCCTGACTCCTCAAGTATTTTCTTCTGTTTCTGAGAAATTCTACTTTTAAACAGAATACAAAAATAAGCAACTGAGAGTGATGAAAGCAAACCATGAACACCCAGTGCAAACGCTGCATTATACTGACAAACTATTGAGACAAAAAAGCATAGCAAGGCAAAT